CTAGCGTCGTCTGGCGGAGCAGCAGAGTGAGAGCGAGAGCGAGCGAGGGAAGGAGAGACTCCGCCTCCCTTTGAAAAGCCAGCCTGCCAGCGCTGCTCCTGCTCCACGTTCACAGGAAAACCAACCAAAACGTAAACGTAAAAGTAACATAAAAAAGTACAAAGGTGGTCCAGGCATGGATGGCTGTCTTGTCCGCTCGTCTTTATCTCTTCCCCCAGGCTTCCTTTTTCTTTCTTTCCCGCTTCCTTCCTACCTTTACTTAGGTTTGGGGTCGGAGCCCCACCCCTTCATTCAATGGTGAGCCGTTTCTATTTCCAGAAAGAAGTCTTTTTGATTAGAAGCGGGCGTCTGTTCCCCATTCTCTCTCTGAATATATTACTGGCCCCCCATCGAACTTTAAACTTTCTTACTAGTGCGTAGCGCAATTATGATTTTCTTTACGACGCCATCAATATTCACTACACGCCCACAAAGGAGGGAACGTAGATTCTGGTGAAATCTACTCTCTGAGAGATTTTTCTTTTCACATTCTCATGGATATTAGAGTGATTCAAATTCTGACATCTTGTATGGAAATTCATGAATTAAAAGCGTAAAAGAAATGTGCAGCAATATTTGGAAAATCTTTACAAAGTCTGATAGCTTGGATTTTGAATCTTAAAAAATATGATATAATTCTTAAAATATATACAATCATTTTCTGTAGAAATCCTAACAATCCTTTGAAGATATATTTTTTAAGCAGCAAAATCAGTTTTTTTTTTTTTTTTTTTTTTTTTTTTCAATGTTAGACAAGATCAATATATTCATTACACTTGTTTTGAGATTTTTGTAAGTAATTCGTAAAAATATGATTTCTTTAAAAATCTCAATCTTTTCTATTTACAGTGTCATCGTTATTTTTTCTAGTATTTTTCATTTGTTTATTCGATTACCCCAAAACATACTTGAATGTTGTCTAACAATAATGGAATCATATTTACAATTTTTTTTGTGTATGAGACCATGTTTTGATTTTCAATTTTATCACTAACATCTCCTTTTATTTAAAATGGTTTATTATATTTTTAAAATAAAATATAGGAAACTCCCAATATCTTGGATTCATAGCATGATAGGTATAAATTCTTCATTTAGATGCTATCATATATAACACATCTAATGACACAACTTGTTGTTTTTACTCAAAGTTATACATCAAACGCTGCACACTAGAAGAGTATTTTATGTAAGTATGTTTTGAAACATGTCAATTGATATGATTGTTGCAAAAAAGAAAAAGAAAAAGTAGCTTGATTGATTAGAAAATTACGAACCGTGTTAATTAATGTAGAAATAACAAATTTACATCATTTCTACTATGTGTTGTCTCTCACTCAACCTAAGTGGCATTTTACATTTCATGATTCATAGATTTTAAAGTGCATGTATGAATATGATTTTTGGTCATCAAAAGAAGTATCTTTGACCTTAAATATTCACAAGACTCACCACCTCTTGCTCCACAATGCATACTTTGCTTACAATATCCGTAGCTTCAGGTTTTGAAAAGTAAAAGCTTGAGTTATTCTTTGTTTTGTAAAAAACAAAAAGAAAAAGAAACGGTTGAAGACAATTCCCAGGACTATTCCCTCAACCTTAGCCACTAAGACTATTCAATTCGAAATAAAACTTAAGATGGATGTAGTATGGATGAATACCAGCCCCCTCACCCACTCATTTATTCATTCATTCATTGCAAAGGCCCGCTATGGATGACGATAGACGATCTTTCTAGCCATGGAATTATTCTGTTTAAGTGGGGGGTATGTGACGTGGCATCTTGGGTTCGAATCATTGGGCCGCAATTGCCCCCATCCCCACCATGTCCACAATGGTCGAGCAGCCCACTGTAATGGATGGATGGATGAATATACAAGGGGATGTATTGTCGTATTTTCGAGTATATATCATCCATCTAGGGGATGAAGGTTCCAGTTGACCAAGCGCACTTGGGTTACTGAAACTGCGCGGTAATAGAAGCAGCCCACGGTTACAAACCGAGATGTGGAAGATAGGGTGCTTGAAAGCGTGGAAGAGGAGGGTTCAAGCAAATGGGAAGAAGAAGACCTCTCTCTTCTTCTTGGGACGGGGTGAATGAATGTGTCCATTGCTTTTGACTCTGGTACTTTTCCTTTTCCTTTTATTTTTATTTATTATTTTTTTTGGGGGGGGGGGTGGTTTTCTTGTTGTAGAAAGGTCATTGTATTGATGTAGATATAGTTTTAAAAAGTTAAATTCACGTGGACATATTCTTAAAAGATGGAAATGATGTAGAAGTATTCTTATACAATGGAAATGATGTGGACATATTCCTTAAGGATTAATCATGTGGGTACATTTCAAAACAATAGATTCACCTGGATGCATGTCAAAAATTGAGATGTGAGTTGAGCATTATTATTATTATTATTATTAATTATATTTCTCTTACTTAGCATGTATACTATGTATATAAGTAAACACATAATAAAAAAAGATATTTAACAAATAGAGTATTACTATTGTTGTTTTGTTGTGAGTTATTGTACTTCTAAAGATGGTTGTTTTTTATATTTATTTATCTATTTATAAATATTTATAATTAATTATTTTAATTTATATATAAATAAAAAATAAATATTTTGATTAATTATTTAAAACAATTCTATTGTATTTGGACTTTGTATGTTATTTTATTTATATAAAAAAAATGTATATGTATATACCTTAAATTTTACTTTAAAAATAAATCTACAAGAATCTACTAGACACTCCATGCTAAAATGACACATTAATTTTTAGATATTTTAAATAATAATTTTGATATTGATAAGTAAATAATTATATATATATATATATATATATATATATACATAAAATGCAACATCTCATGCAATGGTTTAGAAAACAAACCAAGACAATATTAGACTAATCAATTGCAAGCTACTTAGCCCAACTGATTGTTAGAACATATCTGTTGTAAACTCTCAATGATAGAAGCATATATTGAGCGCAAAGCATTTTTAGTCCATCATTACTTATATGTACTTTGACTTCAAATACTCCCTCAGATCAACATTAAATAGTACCAACCAATCTACCAATTTGCAAAATAAATGAATCATATATTCAATTTAACCTAATTACAATTGCAAAAAGCTTGTAGAATTTTGGAATTTCAATACACGCTTCAAGAATATTAGGTGTATAAAAGTATTGAAACAATCAAAAGATCCACATAGAGCTCAATAGTAATATTACAACATCTGCATTCTGATATTTAAACCTGGTTATAAAATAGACTTTAAATATCAATTCCATTGATTGGGGAGGATAATGTCTTTCCACTTAAATCTAAATGTTGGAGGCACTTGTTTCTATACTTTGCATGTATCAATTTCAATGCGAGTCTTTTACCTTGTTGCATTACCAATATCACAACTTTTTCTACTTCACTATTTTTGAGTCTTCACTCTTCGGTCATTTTGAACTTTGTGGCCACCTTGACTAAATCCACATAAAACCTGCCAATCCTACACCATTGTTGACTCTTTATCTACAACTCTATAATCACGTAATCAATGTTGTAAGTTAAGTTTGTGGAGGTTTGAAGACTTGCAATGATCAACTTTGGTGATAGGGTTGCAGGAGTTAGAACTCACTTACAGGCAGATTATTAAGCACAAAAATTTGGATTTGCAATTACATGAGAAGGGATCCGTTTAGCTACAATTCCATCATTTTGGATACTACTTCTTTAACCATCACCTAATGTTTTTTGTATTTCTCAAACTTGGACTTTTCCTTCGACTTTGATATTCTATTCTTTAATGTTCATTTTCGTCTTACCACACGAAGTAATTTGCATTCAATTCACAAAAAGCTAGTCCCATGGATCACAGATTCAAATTTTTAATATACAAGATGTCTCCATCTTATTGAATCCGGTATTTCCAACTTCTACCAAAAAAATCATTGTTCATTTTTGAATTAAAACTTTTTAATGATATCATAGGAAAACTATAAAAATTATCCTTGAAAATGGAAAAAAATGCAACATTCCCTATGACTTGCCTTAATCTAAGATTGGTCCTTTTAAGGCCTTATAAATTGACAAGTTAAGTTTTGATGAAAACAATGATGATTGAGAAATCTAACCAATCAAAAAGCCAATTTGTCTCCCTGGTTTATGTCATTGATTTATACCTCTCCTAATGTGTTTTATAAAGGAAATATATTTTATAATATAAAATTTACCATCATATTTCTATTATTATTAAAAAATATTATAGTTTATTTATATCTAATATATTATTATTTTATATTTTTAGCATTAATATTAGTAAAAATCATAATTTATAATACATATTTCAAAAAAACTTTTTTATTATTTTATTATTTTTTATTAGAGCTTCATTTTTAATGCAATATCCACTGTTAATTTTGTCTATAAAGTGATTTATTTATTTATTATTTTTATAAAATTATGAAACTTTATGTTTAATTTTTATCTTTTTAATGGATAATATTTATAGCATCCATATTATAAATTCCACTTAAATCGGCAAATTTGTATGTAAAAAAGTTTATATTCTTTCAAATAGTAAATAATTATAAATATAAAATTATAATTTTTGTTTGAATACTCCAAAAATACAATATATATATATATATAATTATATTAAAAAATAAGCAGTTTATAATTGATTAAATAATAATTTCGGACCATAATTAATATTCAAGATTTTTTTATTTTTATTTTTATTATTATATTATTTAATTTTATATCATATATATATATATATATATATATATATGTGCGTGTATATAAATTTTTTTAAAAGTTAGTTTATGGTATTTTTTTTTTTAATTTTTAAGTTAGTTTATGGTATTTATGTTGAGAAATCTAATCTTTTGAAGAGTTCTTCAAGAAAATGGAGAAAATCGTTGATATCTGCATCAACTTGACTCATTTCAAGTCTTCAATAAAAAAAATTCATTGAAATCGAGTGGATTCTCAAGCTATTTTGCCTTTAAAGTAGCAACTGTACAATTTGGTAGAAGGATAAAATGCCCTTCTGATTTGCTACAATAAAATGATGTCCAAAGGGATATGCTACTTCCCTTTTCAAAGCTCTAGCTATCGTCGTTCTTATGTGACGATCCTGATTTTTCAGGAGAATGGGAGATCAATTTTGCAAGCAATGTGCTTGTCCACAAACGAAAGCATTCTACTCAAGTGTGGAGTTAGAAGTTCATCATGTACAGAACTGTGCATTTCAAAAACCCACCGTCAAGGCATGGAAATCACTTCTTCGACTCGCTTCTTTGGCATGTCCACAAAGATGTGCAAAAGCTGAAAAATTTTTCTCCTTTGGTTTTCCGTGGTGGAGATGACAGTGTTTCATGCATTATCTCTGGTATCCGTTTTCTGAGATGTTTATGAAAGACATCTACAGCACCTTGTACACCGTCTTCATTCTCTATTGCCTTGGAGAGCTCTATGGCTTTCTTCTTCACCTGCTCACCAGATTGTCCAACCATTTCAAGGGCAGTGCCAACGTCACTGTCAGAACAGAGGTTTGGTTGCTTTGAAGAGTAGGCAAGGCAGTAAAAGTAACTACTGAGTACAGATAGCAATACTGCAAAGTTAAGGAGAATAGAAGTCATAAATTACGTAATCTGCCGTATTTTACGATGGGTGTAGCGTCATCGGCATCCAAGTAATGTACTTATGGAAGGACATGATAAGACATACCTCAGGTTTCACCATGAAATTGATGGCATCAACAAGCTTCTCAACAGAGAAATAGTCGACTGGAATAGGCTCTGGCCCCACACCTCTCGCATGAATCTGTTTCCCCCAAAAAGGCTGGTCCCCAAAAAATGGCACCACTGTTGTTGGACACTGCATTCAGTCACCAGGGGTGTTATTCTCATCATCTATCCGCTTGATTATTGCCTAAGATGCGAAAACAAAATTCCCTTCACAGGTTTTCAGCTACGTTAATTAACTGCCTTCCATATGACTCATCTCAAATAAGAATTCCCTTGTGAATGACCATTAAAAAAGAAAAGAAAAAGAAGAAGGAGCTAGAAACAGCGTTTCTGTTAATAGAGAGCTCAAACAAGATAACAAACATCTGTTGAAGTATAGAAGATGGTGACGGAGAGTATGGTTACCGCAGCTTTCAGACCTGCTGCCACTGTACCCGCACCACCGTGGTGAACCTGTCAACCCCGCCCAGGAGAAAAATATAACCATTAACACTTCAAACTTTACATATGATCTCATCATCCAAAAAATCCATTAGATGTATGACAAAGGTAATAGAGGAGTTCTTAAATCACTCATTAAAAGGAGACGCACCACAGCTGCGCACCGAGGGAAAAGCCAATCATGGGGACAATCCTTCACAAGATACACGAAGTCCAGATGTTCATCCACTGGAAGAGAAATGGAAGGGCATTGTCAGCGAAATTGCAACCTAGTCGATTCAAAATCTGTAAGTATAATATATATTCTTGCGATCGCGAGATAAAAGCTTGTACATAATCATTTATTATTACTTCAACACGCGATAGCTCAGAATACATCCCACCAAGTCAAAGCTACTCGATGCACAAAGTAGAAATAAAATAGCATTTTAAGCTACGAAACTAAAGTTTTCATAGTTGGAAATTCAATGTGAAAAGAATAATTACTAGCTTTTACAACCACAGCGTCAAAGACGTACCATTGCCCAAGCCGCCCCATCCTTCGTTGATTATTCCACGCTGTTTCGTTTGTCTAAGTGATTCAATGATACTCCTCGTCATCCCTTTTGGATCTCCGAGAGGCTGAAACAACAAAAAAAAGACACATTGCCCCATTTTACCCAAAGCAAAGCCAACATCAGTTTCCTTTCAAAGTCTCACATTGGAAGAGAGAAAGAAGAAAAGAACATGGACAAGATATCTGGTTACCACGAAGTTACGTACATTAGTGCTCTACTCATTTCTGAGCTTGTAGTATTCCGAAGCGAGAAATGAAAAACAAGGAAAAGTATCCAGCACTGAAGGTCTCAAAACGAAATAAACCTTAACGTCGAACATTCAGCTGATGGATCGTTAGGTATGATATAATTCTGAGGAAAGCTGTAGACATCTCAAAAAATTGACAACTTACAAGACTTCCAAAGCCGATATAAATCGGTGCTGGTCCTGCTTCAAGCCACTTCACCAAGTCTTCGGGAGGCTTGTATTCATCAGCTTGATGATAGAAGCAGAATCCTACTACATCAATTAGAGGACCCCAATCTGCGAAAACAAAGTTGAAGTGTGGCGTTAGTACAATACTTCACTTTGTTATGGTGGTTCATATCCAATTGATGTTCTAAAATTTTGTACCAAATCGGAGAACTATTGGAATAGTTACTAATCCTCCCCGTAACTAGCAACTTTACAAATATTTCTTCCTGTTCCAATTTACACGACGAATCACTGTGAACTTCATCACAAAAAAACCCCAAAGGATTCTCAGTCCGAAATTGGGGATTTAAGGTAAATAAATCATGATATTCACGGACGCGCTGGTCCAATTTTTTCATAAAACCGCAAAGAAAATAGTTGTAGAATATCAAGGGTCTGAGGTTGTAACATACCGTCAGGTTTTGGTACAAGTGCTGGACTCCACAGGTAACCTGTTGGTAAATCGGTCACAGAACCTTGGGAGCTAAAATAGGGAATGGGGTGAAGCTTCAACTTCTTCTTGCGAAAGTCATTGATGATGCTTCTAATTCCCAACCAAATCGCTGAGTCTACCACTTGATACGATAACTGCAGCTCAATTAGAACCCAATTATTATCTGATTGAACAATGTTTTGTATGTTATTATCGAGGTACAGCATAAACCTGTGTACGAACTCATAAACTCCAGGTTTGCAAAGAGGAACTAAAATATTTAAAGAAAGGAAAGGAAAAAGATAAAACATTTCACTTACTTTGAAACCAGCTGGTTTGTTTATACGTGATAAGGGGTGTGGAAATGCCGAAGTTGGTCTGTTTAAGTAAAACAAAAGAAAAAGAAAAAGAAAAAGTTATCATTGAAGAGTTTATTGGTGGAAAGGCAAAGACAATCAAGAGTATGCTAAATCATCTTCTAAGAACAACTGAAAACCAAGGAAAAATTGTCATCTGCATCACACTCCGACAAATGAAAACCGTGCGAGTGATACATATCGACTATGATCTCCCAAGAGGACAACCTCAACATTTTTCAAGCAAGAAAATTATCAAGTTGACAGAAATATTGATAAATGAAATAAATATTGATAAAATAAAATAAAAGGAGTCAAAAAGTATACGCACGTCCACGGCATTGTGAAAAAAATGTGCAAAGGAACCTTGAGATACTCTGCAACGTGCACATGACCTGTGTGATACCACGCACAGATTATAATGATGACACAGTCAAGATTACTTCATCTGTTCCTTGAAACATTCTGATGACAAATCTACTTCAATTTCTTCAAAGTCCTGCATTGATGTTTTTCCTGTATGAAATGAAAGGGTTGAAATGCACCATAAGCTGGAGGATTGGCGATGATCACTTGCGCCTTGAAGGGAACACCAGAATCCATATCTGGCTCTATGCATGGTGCCAGGAGAGAATTGACGATTGATTTTATCTGTTTTCTTTGTGTTCTGACTTCCTTGGGTCCTGTAGACAGAAAGCCCTTGTTCTTCACCATATCTGATGTCAAAAATAATATCTCAGAACATGCGTGTGCAATCACTAATCTAAATAAACAAAACAGCAAACCCAATGCTTAGCATAGAAACTTTACACGGCTCAATAGAAGTAGACGTCGAATAAATGAAATATTAATGCGAAATATATTTACAAAAAGTACCCACAAGGTTAGCCATAAGAGTAACAATATAACCATGCCGCAAAAATATTGATTAATAGAAGAATATGGGAGCAAGCAGAGCAGGTCTGAAAATCGGCAAGAACATACATGCAGCGAGAACCTTTGAATCACCTCCCAGGGGGAAAAACTCTAAGCCTGCTGATTTAACAAATTCTTTAAAATTAGCATGCGTCGCTAGCCTCACTTGATGTCCATACTCCTGTAAAACATACCCACGTCAACGTGAAATAGAAATTCATGCACTAGACACACAAACTAAAATAATTCAACTGTGAGGATTCCGGGCACTAACCAATATCATAATCAACAGGATAATTCAAACAAACACAAATTTAATGAGTAACACCTAGTACTATTGGTAATTCTACTGTATGTGAGTCACAAAGAGCTGACCAAAGAGCAAGACTTTATGACGTCAACAGGTTCACGAAAGATCTCAAAGAGAGGACCTGCATCTTCCTTCCAATGGCCAGAAATGGCTGAACATCACCCCGAGTGCCAACAATTAACATCACAACCTTCAGTGAGGGAATTTGCTCCCATATTCCATCGTCTTCATCCTCTAAGTACTCGTCTTCAGCTGGCCCTCGTGCCTCAGGCGCAAACACACCCTCAGCAATTCTACTACTTTCGTCAACATCAAAGGCCAACGTACCATCGTCCTGAACCCTAGTTAATTTCTTCATGAGCCTTTTCTGTCACATACATGATAGCACGTGAGAGTCAATACATCATGAAATATTACATTATAGACTGCTATATCCTCAAAAGACGTATGGTTCTAATCAACTCGTACTGCGTACTGTTTAGTTTTTCCGCAGCATCTTAAGTTGCCGTGTAATCATGAACTTCATATATTAGGAACATAGGTTCCGGAAGAAGGGAACCTCAATGTGTTACTCATGTGATACAACTAAACGTAAATAACCCCCAAATGTTGCAGATGTTTGACTTTCTTTCACAAAGTTTAACTCATAGACTACTGATAAGATCTTGTTTGAAATAGTACCTTCTTCCTATGTGAAATTTTATTACCAGCATTGCGAATATTGGAATTCTCGGTGTTCTTCTTTTCTCGCCTCTGAGTATCATTGTTGTACGGAAGACGATGAGCGGCGTCAGGAGATGACACGCTATTCAAAGACTTAGTTGCACTGAGCTTGTTATCTGTGCTCACAAAATCCACAAAATTTCAGAACATCGTTTGGCTTACAGGTAAATTTTCCAACCTTCAATCTTCTTGTATAAGGGCGAACTTATATGAATTCAACATCCCACAAACCTTCTCAAGAGTTGGATTTCGAAAGATTAGTCGAGTCACAAAATGGGTATGGGTCAAATATTCAGAGCTCATTTAATTGCATGTCCAACCATGCCAACCAGTGCAGTAATTAGTCAGACAAATAAAAGCAAGAATGTCATTCTAAAACAATGGTAAAAATCCCGTACTCGGTGGACTGTAGGCCTTGTCAACGTCATCCCTGAGCTTATGCAAAGATATATCTCCCATTTTTTCCAATACTTGCTCCTCGGCATCCTCACTGATCGTTGTTGCAACCACCGACGGCATCCATACGGGCATGGATTGAGTATTTTGCAGTGGGTGATGTTGATTGTCGCTGATTTTAGCATTATCAGACAACCTCGGATTCAGGGACTGAAAATTTGATGCAGCATCATCAGCTTCTGTCTTGGGCAGGCTTGCGTAATTAGCGTCGGTAGAGTTTCTAGCAACCATCGTCCTCAAATCGGGAGGCGACAGTCTGCCTGTGATCTCTTCAGGGCTGTTGTTCTTGAATCCTGTTACGGCGCTTCTTTCAGATTGCAACCAGGATGGTATCTTACTTATCGCATGCAAATCAACCTTATTCTTGTGCCCAGGAATATCTCCATTTTCTTGACCAAAACTGCACAATCCCGAAGATTGAGTTTCGAGCTATTCAAATGTAAACAGTCATTACAAATGGGAGAGTAAAATTCGATCAGAGTCATTTCTCTAGAATGTGCTCAAATAGACAATAGCAACAACATTTACAGTTACAAATCCATTCCTAATTTGAATCCACTCGCCCCAGAATTCAAAAAGAACGTATGCCAATTCCAAGACGAGGAGGCACCAGCACACCTTGAATCGGTGTCGCTCCCCATTTGTAATTCCAAAAGTGACTATCAATCCTGCTTTGTTTCAATCAAAGGCTCAACAGATCGGCTCGGGATACCACTGACATCAAATTCTAGCGTCTATGGTTGCACACCTGTCGCAAGGGGTACCACTTGCCAATGTCAAAATTCAATCCCAACGACGCAACCCTCGCAATTCAACACATTGTTTCTGTGCCTTGAATACGTCTACTGCATAATGCTCGACGATTTCAACGATGCTCTCTATTAGTATACACCCTCCGAAACTAGTCTTTAGCAGATTCGATCATGACTATTTTACCATCTTTCCACAAAATTGCAACGAATACCCTCTGCGGCGCCCTAGCCATTACGTGGTTTGAAAGTGAAGCTTCCGCAGACCAGATGTTACCCCCATGTGAATCTAAATACGAAATTAGGTTGCTATCGTAAGAACTGATGATAGCTCAAGAATGAAAACCAAGCCGTTCTTGAGGGTTCAAGAGAACGAAAGTGCAACACACAATCGCACACAGAAGCGAACGCATTACAACTCGAAAAAACACATGTGCGCAAAGACATGCACATTAGCAGCTCTAGATACAGTCAATTGCGACACCCTCGACACACAACCCACAAAGCGAATTATCGAAACAGAGAAGCGAGAAAGTGCTAAGAGCCCAGTGTCTATCCGACGTAATGGAGCATCGACGACGGGCCCAATGCAAAACACGCTACACCGGTAGATATCATTCGCATATCCTCACGATAAAACTTGTTTCAAAGCTCATAACCCCCCCTCCCCTCCCCCTCCAGAAAATCACGTAAAAACAGTAAAACATTCTCCCTCAAAACCACGCCCCTACTTCCCCCCCATCATCTGACAAGCACTCCGACCCACCGTCAATCTCTCGAGAGCTGCTGCAGCTGCTGCTTCCACGCGGATACGTCGATCCTGCAACGCAAGGACGTGCTGCTGCATGGAGAAAGCATAATTTTGTGGCGGTCACGAGCAATTCCAGACGATGAATCTCAACAATATGGAAATGGGGTTGGTGTTGTTCTCAGCCAGTGGAGGGCACCCCCAAGTAAGGGCGACGCCATCCTACATGAATAAATCTTTTCTGTCGTTATGTCGAAATCCAACAAAATCCCTGTTTTGTTGTGGGCATTCAACGATCTATCGAAGCAGCAGAAGCATTCTTTGAGCGACTTCGGCAAAAAGGCTCCGTGCAGTGGCATTCTCCGTGTTGCGATTTTGGAGGGAACTGTCAGACAAGTGGCGGAACATCCGTGGTGAAGACCATGCGGTTCCACGTGGCGTTTCAGCAAGGAGTCTGAAATGCTGACCTGTCAAATACCGTACCGTGCCGTCGTGGCAGAGCCTTTTCAATTTTTTTTTTTGCATGGGAGTCGTTTTCATGGGGGAAACATTTTGTGTGTTTGCATTTTTTCTATCTACGGAAATGTATATATATACGTTTGGATGAGTGTATGTACACACATATATATATATATAAATATATATATATTCTTGGAGATTTCTTTTCAAGCAAATAGAATATAATTTTGTCGATAGATTGACATGTGTGTTTGAACATTCTTTTGATGTGATCTTGGGACATGTTTCGGATTCTTTGGTTTAAACCTACCAATAACTGCATGTATTGGAAAAACTTAGAAATAGAAGATGTAGTTTTAAAACAGGGTTTATCAAGCAAGAAATAAATTGAAAATGGGTGTGGCTTTCAACAAACAAGTGCGGTTTTTCGTAACGGGAATTCCAAAAACAAGTTCATGGGAATGAGTGGCTTTGAATAATGTGTGGGTTTTATAAATTATTGTCTGAAATCCTGAGAGTATACACTAGAATACAGTGGGGTTTGTGCTGACAAGTCGTCTTAAGTCCCTTTCTGGTTTAGGCCTAAAGACACTTCACTACTATCATATGAGCTTAAAGCTACAGATCTTCAAATTTGACCAATAAAAAGTTGAATGAATAGCAGGAGTGAGCCATCCTGATTCAAGAACCGTTTTATCGTTTAAGGATCCGCACAAGTCGTAACACGGTCTGCAACCATTCGACAAGGATAATGAGTTTACACATGATTTACATGCCATGCAATTTACAGTAGTACTTTGTAGTAATAGGATTGACTGTGTTCAAGGGCTTGATGATCTACACTACTACAGGAATTCCTTAAATTGGGTCCAGGGTTTCATCTCACAGTGGACCGACTTCAAGGATCTAAACAGTTGTCTAATCCAGAGGCTTTGACTGGTACAAAACAGTCAGCTCATCTCAGTGTCAACATAGCCTTGAATTTCCTACAAACCCATATCGTCTATAGCATCAAACTCTTCTCATTATGCTTAACTAATTATTCCGAGTGCATAAAGTAAGACCCTTATTTATTCTACAATCTTAAGGGTTGTGGTTTCAAGTTGTAAAACCGATCACAATCAGCAATAGTTTCGAACGTTCTTAACTACACTAGTACCCTATGAATGAATCAGATGCCACTTCTAAGCATGGAATGACAGGGAAAATGCAATTGATATCACCACCTAACCGTGACAAGATGCTGTTGAAAAACTCAGAATCTGCTCCAAGATCAATCAGCAAAACCTACCTGCATTACAAACCAAGACTTTCAGTGTAAACAACGTCTCAACATTTACGTGCATGATGCAGCCCGAAATTCTACCACTGATGACACTCCACAAGCATCCAACTCCTCATATGATAGTAGTGAAGTGTGGTAAGACCTAAGACCTGATGATAACTTCCAAGTGCCTGTTCCGTTCCGGTGATAGGAACAAGCTTCTGAGTCTTAAGTGGGCGTACCTAATTCGAGTTGATAATGACTACATCATGCAGCAGAACTTGTAGAACGTGGTTGTTAACTGATACTCACGCTTACACAAGCAGGAAGATTAACAACCTTAGTATATGGGTCAAAGCAACGAACAGCAACAATACAGAGAGCAAATACTGCATACAATAATAGAGTCCAGTATATTGGTGAACCACGCAAAGTCAGTGTTTGGCAAACCTCTTGCACTAAATGAGTGAAACTAATGTTTTATGATCTAGCATCTATCGATCTGCATTGAACTTGAGAGCCAACCTAAACCTGGATTGCTCATACGAATCTTCTGAATACTTGTTACTTCTTGTCGCCCAAGCATTGATCTTGGAACAGTTACTTCGTCATTGCAGCCTCTATATTGAGTTTCCTTAGTTCCAGAACCAGATAATCCTACGACCGCGAAGGCCTCAATTACACTATCTAAAACATTTAGCACCTTATTTTTCCTTTTACTGCTATTTTTCTGAATAAGAGTCTCATTTGTAATTACATTCATGGTCTCTTTTGACGGACTAGTTTCACCATGTGGTGAACATGTATTGTTGGAGGTCCTTGGACTTACTAGTTCTGGATCTGGAAGGCGCATAGGCATGTCCTTTGCGTCAATGGGGGAATTGAAATAACTTTGATCATTGTCATCCTCATCAATTTCTCCCGCCAAGCTTGAGGCCACTTCTGCGCATTTCAATCCAGGAACCTCAGATAATTAAACATATAATTCACTAAGTCTTATACGGTGCTACTTGGATGGAATCACTGGGTGTTGCACGGGAAAAACATTTGTGGGGTTGCAAGGTGAAGTTACCGCTAAATTTAACAGTCGGAAACTAATTTTAGATGACATCCTGTAGAACATGATACTTAACAGCCCTTGTAAATTCCAGGTTCTAGCCTCGTGCTGGCCTTTGACAAAGGTCAGCATGATGCTAGAACTAAGATCTGCAATGATTAAGAGATGTTTTTGCCAGCGTTGCTTTCTCGAAGAACTCCATAGATCTTAAGTAATTTTGGCCCGAAGTAATTTCGGAGCAATTGATCTAATGACAATGAAAAGATTAAGTGGGAGAGTGCTGAAATTGGAGGATTAAACGATACACTGCACAGTCTACTATTGTTAAAAAATGGAAGTTGACTTACCACTAGTGCAGCTACACGGTTTTTGCTCACCGCAACTATTAGAGCTATTTTCACACAATCGAAAGCTTTTTTTTCGCGCCGGGCAGAACGTGTCAGCCTGAGACAATAGCGAAATGCTGTACAGTTAGATTAAAATGGGAACTTAGTGCAGAAATTAAGAATGTTCAAAGATGAAACTGGGCTTCTCACAGCTGTTCAGCAGTTCTTTAGAAATACAGAACTATTATCTGTAATGGTGGCGAATTACTCTGCATGAATTAGACATCCCCGAGGCAAATTATGCTCAAGATGATGAAACAACATAACTAGCAGTGCAAAGATTGTTCGGCACGGGAAAAAACACTCAAACGTCACCTCTTTGACTTCTGGGTTCGCGGAAGAATCTCTTCTGAAAGTTGGGGATACATCTTCCAGAAGAAAAGGAGTGTTCCCTCCAGATAAAAGTGGAGTTTCTCCTGGCAATAGTGGATCATCTGTTGCTCTGTACATCCTTAGCCTGCATGCGCTGTCAACCTGTCGCTCGAAAGCCATACCTGCTGCGAAAAACATAGCTGCCATAACCTCTGGTCTGGTCGGAACTTCATTTCTATATTGTCCTGGTGTACCCAAGGAGAAAACCCACAAATTCAGTGTTCCAGAATAATGATTACAGAGCTCTAGCAACGTTTTAATAATTCGATCCCACAGACGCTGACTACAGATTGGAATGATGACAAGGCTAAATGTCAAATGATGCATGGTGATTGTCAACGTTTTCTCTCAACACCCAGACCAGCCTTGTGAGCAGAAACGCATAACCAACACACCAGGTGCATATTTCTCCAAGCTGTGACCTGCTACATATTTGTTCAACTTCGAATTTAGTTCAATGAGGTCACCTTCCATCTCCTTCAACATTTCAATCTGTCCAGCAATCAAGATCAAAGTAAATATCAGAGAGAAACCCTATCAAGGATGAAGGTGATGAGGAGGTGAGAGAAGGAGGAATATTGAAAGTTCTAAAAGAAACATCTCTACACAGCGTCATTGCCTCACCTCTCTATCAACCTTTACTAAGGATAGATTTGTAGCTGAAACCTGCATGCATTTATGCCACAAATGATGCCGTCAAATCGGTTTAAGTCATCAATTCTTACTTCTAAGGGAGCAGATATTGACCCCTGATCTACTTACAAAATTCATCGTCTTCACAAGACGCCATCCAAAAGCCACTGATTTTTACATCATCGTAAATGGAAATGGAGTAAAAAGTATTCCAACTGTATTTGAAGTAACTTATCTACCTTCCGCAGTTTAAACTTCAAGACTCCAGGCGGATATGAAAATCTACACTGGAGAAAACCATTACGTGTAGATGTTAACTCGCCTGTTTGGAATCGCCTTCCAGAAGCAATGGTGGAGCATCATGACTGCTTTCGGTATCCAACCGGACCGGTGGGTACCAATGATCATCTAATGAAGGTCTTGGTTCACTGCAACAATTTTTTTATATTTATATTTTGCATTTTGAAAAACAAAAGAAAAAGAAAAAGGAAAAGAAAAATCATAATCAGAACATCCTTAGTACGATTCAAAAACACGATATTAAACAGAAAATGTAACCATCTTGACAACTTCGAAAATCATCTGATAGCTGACATCTGCACGAATTATGCTCAGCTATGCAGACAAAACTCATTAGTGCAGATTCTACATGTGTTTCATATATTTGATTACAATCACTTTGTATTAGCAAATTGTTTATAGGGACTATTTTGCTGCTACCTTAGATCTTCAAAATACATATATTCTTGGTTAGGATCAATTAGATCAGGAAAATCGTTTGTCTTTGTCGAACAGGTACACAATACTGACATCTGCACGAATTAAAATTGCATAAATGAATTAAGCCACATTTGACTACGAATAAAAATCAAAGGGTGCAATGTAACAACCTTACAACGACATCGTTCTCTATGTAATCTGCATAATAACTATGTTCCTTGAACTGATGTCAGTCTAATGAACATGAGCGTTGAAGTTTATTACCTCCAACTTGGATGTTCTTCGAACATGAGATGATCCACTTGAAAACAAAGGGTACTCAAGATAGATTTCAACATCGTCGTCCTCAAAGAACTGGAGCACCAAAAATAAGGGTAAGCAACAATGTCCATTATTTTGAAGGTAGCTCCAAAATTACTTCATCCTAAACACAACTGTCATGCCAACAACCATTATTGGTACGGTACTTCAGTAATTTTCTGTTTGATTGTTGTCTAGTATAAGATTTGACACGTAATCAAACATGGTTGCAACAATCTGTTGAAGTTGTGATAATTGTCACTGGTGCGCTTCATGATTTCAGAGTGACTTACCTCCTTGAGATCCAAAGTAATATGTCCAGACAAACCAGCACTCCAGTTCTGAGCAAGAAAAGGACGAGAATCGTTACCAGTCGATTAAACTTCTGATAGTTCTCACCCGATGCCCGAGAGCAAATGGACAGCTCAACACACACAGAATTGATTGATCGAGTAAAAATTACCTGGTCTGAAGAAGACCCCACCCAATCGTCGCCATTCCATCGAAAGACCAGAAATAGAGTCAATACCACTAAGTTGTTGAAAAACGGGAATTGAATGCTTTCAATAAAATTGTGTGCAAAATAACTGAATTGAAATACTGCATGCACTCATCAGCCAGGGACCGTCGGTCTCAACCGACCTAAAGTAGTGCTAATGAATCCAACATTAAATGATTTCTCCACATTGTTTCAATGTGTACACGCTAATGAAATTAGGTCTCAAGGGTAAGGTAACGATTGAACGTACCTATGTATACATGAAGCTTATCTGGTCTACCATACTTAATCTCGCATGAGAGCTGCTGGTTGATAACACATTCATCACCAATCACTTCAAATTCTCCAATATTCTGTTGTTCGATTCCGTGTAAGATAGTGATCTTCAAAAAATATCTCTGACTATTCTTAGAAGAGCTGGCTCCAGAAATTGGTGGGATAGGGAGACGTATTCCTGTTATCCTTAAAAACTTGATACAGAAGAAATATGCATGAGGTTTCTGTGGCGAAGATCTTTGTGAGGTTTCACATGCTTCCATTTTTGCAGATCATTATTTCACTTTGTTATGCGAAACGTCACAAGTCGATACAGTAGGCATCAGATTCCATCATAGAACCTCCAAATACCAGCCTTCCCTCACTAATCGAAAGTGGTTTCAAATGCCTGCCATAGCAGAATGAAGAAATCAGAATATGGGAGTCATACAGAACAAGTAGATCAAGGAGCATACTTGTGACAACTACGACAACGATAAAACTTGAGGACAGAAAAACTACCAAACATCTTCCCATGCAAATTCAGCACTTGGCAGACCTCATCAGATTCCCAACCGATATTTATTAAACATAATAATTCTTCGATTTACAAAATTCTTAAACACGAGCTCATGAAGCTCGTTGGGCAACTATGATATCTGCGAAGCAAAAGACTCCAAAGCTATGTGGAGAATTGCGGCTTCGACCAAAGCATCGAAAAGCCTGTGAGAGCGGAGCGAATTTCTGGAATTCACACGATCAAAGGTGTTCCAAAATATGAGAAGCAAAAATATTGGTAACTAGGATAGTAGCAGAGAAAAGTCTGCATCAAAAATCTGTCTAAAAACGATGCCAACACCTAATCAGTCCTCTTGACATCCATCAAACCTGAAAGGCACAATTTATGAAAGATACAGTGAAGAAGACGATCCCTTCTCGACATGAATGTTAATTAACAACACCAACGACATTGGCAAGCACCAAAATAAAGTCCAGTATGGTCCTTAATTTCCTCACAGCCAGATTTACCTAAGATGGCAATTAGCGAGCAGTAGTCCAAAGAGACTGCATTTTGATTGAGGTTCGTCCGGATATTACATCCAAGACAAATATCACATTCCTGCGTCCAAGTACGTCTATTAAGGCCTGTTCAACAAGTTTCTTCTATCTACCAATAACTTGCTGAATTTCTTACTATTAGCCACCTTTCCTATTATTGCTGAGAAAACAGCTCCACTGAAAAAGCCGACCTACACCAAACTGGCCTAAAACTCACCAAGCATTTGCCCCTTCATAGATAGGCGCACAAGCAGTGTGAACCCTAACTCACTCCCCAATTTCAGTCTCCTCCAAACTCCCGCACATAATACAAATTGAATGCTCCGCAGATGCTTCACCATGCGAAACGGAAAAAACATGACCACTACGGCAAGAATCAAATTATATCAAAGCAAATCAAGGAAGTGGTATAAGCGGCCTACTTTTCTCACCAGGAAAGTTGTGGAGACGCTGATGAGGCGCAAATGACTAAAGGGAAATGTAAGATTCAACTCTGTAGATTTTTGCCTCACAACTATCCTGTGAGCTTGACTTTTTAATAGTAGTCTCTCCACCCCACGACTCTGTTCAACAAAAGAAAGTCGAGGATGCACGCCGGATTGTTGAGAACAGCAGACTTCCAGGAGATTGACTACTTGCCATACTGACGATCCAGAATCTCAAGAACTGAATCTCTACGACGAGAGTGGCGACGAAAGTTGTCCCGAGGTAGTCCGAATTTGTAAAGCATCCGGGGGAGCATGTTACGAACCCGCGAATTCTACCTGGTCTACCGAAATGTAGAACAGCATAGGAATTTTTTTGTCACGACAAGGACAAACAATATGCACTGTTCGTGTGATCGTTGGAATCAGTAATTCTCTTGCACTTTATCCATTTCGATCGCAACTCGTCATGCTCATCTACAAGTTGACAAGCGTAGAGATTCTAACTCCATGAACGTAACTGACTCCGGCAAAGCTATTGTTAAAAGAGGTGGCGCTTCAAGCTGCTGAAACAGGAGAGAAAAAGAAAAGCTGAAGCGACTAATGCAGCTGAATGCTTCTTGCACTGAAGGAAGTCGATGCAAATTGAAGCCTGGATAGTTTGAAAAGAATGAAATCACGTCCTGAGAAACGCAAGGATCTTGGCTTTAAGCCATGAGTGATGATCACGAATTCACAAATGCCTGTACACTAATAACGTCCAACACGAGCGAAAGAAACAACCACTCCGTTCTCGCACGCAGAACTGACGATCTAACGAAACAAATTACGACGTCTCCCACGCAGATTTTCCAATCCATTCCGTCGTCGGCTCCAAATTCTTCAAAATCCCTCCAAATCCACAGAAACCGCTCCTACGACCAAAAATTGAAACGAAACCTTTAACTACTGCACGGAAGTGCACAACAGCGTCCCGCTCTCTACGACAGCGACATAAGAGCATTCACGAGGACATTGCAAACGGTAAGACGTACTCAAAACAATGATAATCGACCGCACCAGCTTCCCTGCGATGACGACAATCCTTCCGCGGAATTCCCCTCCCTTCCTCACAAGCCTGCCACTGAAAATTGCACTTCCACAAAACCGCGCACCAGAACATCGGAACCTTCAATACCTTCAATTCGCAACCAAGCTGCTCCAACAATCTCTTCTTCTGCTTCTGCTTCTTCTTATTCCCACGGAACAACAACAACAATCATCGCATGTTCACGCCAACCTCTCCCCGAAACGATGCAGCAAGCCGTCCTCACGACACTCTTCCCAAGCTCCTCCTCCTCCCGATTTCTTCCATTGCCACTGAGGCAGGGAGCCACGAGTACGGCAGCCGGCGTGAGGCTGGTTCCAAGGCATTGAGGCTGGACCCAACTCGTGGCCGTTGGATCGTAGCAGGTTCATGACATGGCGTGGTGGGAACGGCGCCGACGACCACCACAACGACAACAACAACAACAACAAGAACGACGACGACGACGACGAAGAAGACGAAGAGGAAGAAGAAGAAAGGGGAGGGGGCTTCAAATCACCGTCGTTACAACTCTGTCTCTCTCTCGCGCTCTCTATTTTCCTCCCCAAATTTAGAGGCTTTCCCCCCCAAATTTAGTGGGAACTCGACGTCTTCCTGGTCAACTCTACACCCCCCCCCCAAATAAAAATAAGAATAAAAATCCCAAGACGGGCCAAATGTGTCACCCACAGCCCAGAATGCTGCTGCTGCTGGCTAATAATAATAAGTAATAAATAATTCCTACAACTAAGTTGGCTAAGCGGGCTTCCTTTCCTTCTTTCTTTCTCCATAGTTTTCAGTTAAGGAAGCTGTTGTGCTTAATTACACACACACACACATCTCTCTCTTTCTTTCACTTTCTCTATCAATTGTCTTTCCTCATACAAAAAGGGCTTCTGTGGAGATGGGCTAGCAAGCTAGCTGGGGGGGGGGGGGGGTCAGAATTGGGTTCCTGGACAAAAGCAACCCCGGAGATCTTTTTATGGCAACAAGAGATCTTTTTTCTTTTTTCTTTTTTGTTAGTCCATTTAAGCAAGCAAAATCTCATGGCAAGACAATTGGCACTGTGTTCATGTCAGCACTGGTTGTGAGTGTGTGGCACATGGACACATGGAGTGTTATCACAGAATCTGTGTGCATTTTAGTATATACACACACACACACACATAAAAATATATAAAAATATATATATATATATATATATATAAATATATATAAATATATAAATAAATATATATATATATATATATACATATGTATGTGTGTGTTTTTATAGCCCAAGAATGTGTTTCAAGTAACTAAGGGTAAGAATGGAAGAGACAAGGGGGAATGAATATGAATATGAATATGGGGTATATATATATATATTAGTTATGGTTCAAGGATGGCCAGGACTGCCCAAGTGCAGCCAGCCAGCTTTTGACTGAGTGTGTTATGGGTTGTGTTGTGTTGGGTAGTGTTGAGTTGTGGATGAGTTTGGGGGATCAGCATCCAAGACTTGACTTGGTGGTGGTGGGGCAATGGACGGTGGTGTGCTCACATCCCCCCACCTTCCTTTTTTCTCTCATGATCAACTCACCCCAAGTATGTATATGTTCATACCATTCACATTGCAAGTCCACTACAATTGCATCCTTTTTAACTTTTTCACTCTTCCTTTTCTTTTAGGGGAATCATAAATAAGTGTGTTCTTTCTTCTTTTCTTTTCTATTCTTTTCTTTGTTTTTATTAGTTTTTATTAGTTTTGAAAGTGAAGGGGGCATGTTCTAGTGCCAAGTGTTGTCAGAGGGCAAGTGCCCACTTGTGATGAGCCAGCCTCCTGCCACTCAACAAATGGTCAAAGCTCAGACATCCCTATCCAGCACTTAATTTTGTATACAAAAATACTCTATCCAATTTTTTATTTTTTACTTTGTATTTTTATTTCATGTCTGTCTCTTATATCTCTCTCCTCCATAATAATGATCTCCCTCTTTTGTCCTCAGTGATTTGCAACTCCATGTGCAGACAAGGAATTGTGCTGCATTTCACCAATTCTGCATATGTGTGAGCTCAGTGCCTCACATTGTATGGTGGAAAAGCATGAGCAAAACTGACACCTTTTGGAATTAGGGTTTGAGGAACTTGTTTCAGTGGGGTTAGGTGTAGCCAAAGTTTCTACAGCAAAAACTCTGCTAGTACAGGCATCAGTCATGGCTCAGAATTTTGACATGTGGGTAATGGCTCTCATATACTTTAATGAATAGCTTTATCAATGTCTTTGGTTTTGTAACCATCAAGGTAGTGCTTGATTTTGTAACTGTCATATGTGTATATTAAAAGATACATGTGTACTTATAGGGAGAGTGCAAGAAATGTATTTACTGAGGCTTGTGTGGGAAGCATGAGAGTGTGGATATATAGAAGAAATTTTTGTTGTGCTTGAAGTATCCATTTGGGCATAAAAATATTGAGATAATATCACAACTATTCTTGAAATTTGCCAAAATATCAATAATACCCTTGTATACTTGATAATAGCACACACATTCCCTACTCTTGTGAAAATATCAAATCTACCCTTGATTCTCATAAGTTATCACAATTGCTCCATCTTTAGACTCAAATGGGGCCCAAACAATAGAATGGTCATTTTTTGTAATTTTTGGCCCTTTTGACACTTGTCTCCCTTAATTGTCAACAGTGCATGGATGTAGCAATGCATTCCCTACTCCCACTACCACCATGGATTAGATGCTTGCACCTTTGCACCTGCCTTTTTTTGTGCCTCTTCGCAAGTCTTTGCACAATTCTTTAAAAAAAAAAATGCTTATAATTTCAATAATGTGATTGATCATTTTATTGCTACTTTTTGGCCTTCTCTTGTCGCTTTGATATAAGCATCAAAGATATCCAAGTCATAATTCACTAAAGTAAAAAACATAAAAATATTAGCAAAATTGCTAAGTAAGTAACTCAGTGATTCTCAATATTTGAAGGTATTATTTCTATGATTAAAAGCAAATGTGTCATCATGTACAAAAAATTTGTCAAAGACATAAGCAAACAATTGATTCTTGTAGTGTAATTTATTGTATAATCTACCTCTAATATTTGAAACATAAGATATTTGAAGATAAGTTAAGTATACATGTGATTTGTTCAACAAAATGACTGGCAAGCATCTATACCTCACTATAATGAGATCCATTATTTATTTATTTTGCATGTTTCAAGAAATACACTAATAAGTTATATTTACATTATAAAGGTACATACATACATCCATGCACATATGCAAGCAAATCATAGAGAATTTATGTCTTTAGATCACTTTTGCCTCTTTCATATGAAATCTACAAAGATTAGAATTTGAAATAATTTTGATTAATTAACTAAATAAAATAAAAAAAAGAGTAAAACTATAAGTATGAGTTGATTTCTTATATTCAAATTTTTCTACAAAAAATTAGAAGTAAGTCTAAAGTAATTGAAGTTAAAACTTTTAAATTAGGTTTATTTTTTTGAAAAAAAAATAACTATGTGAATATATTAAAAATATTTCCAGAAATAAATTGATCATAAGAATAAATTTGATTAAATATTAATAATAATGTTAAAATAAAATAAATTACAAAATTTGTATTATGGACAAAGATAGTCCTACAAAAGTAAGTCATCACATCTTTAGACATCACATTGAACAATGCTTTAGCTATGGAATCAAATTTGTTTATTGAAAGTTAAGCAATTATGTCCAATATTCTTGGATTGATTGCATCTAAATACTCTTTTGATTGTTCTCATATCCTCTATACAAATGTAATGATTTTTAGGTGGCCATGTATACATCATATCAAGGATAATAGAATTGGAGCAAAATCAATTTTGTTATTACTGAATTTTGTCCAATACTCAATGGATGATATTGGAATGATGGACATAACATAAATTGCTTGCTTGCCTTAAACAATATGAGAGTAAGTAATGTAGTGTACAACTAATTGTTATAGACAAGTATAACGCTATTTGCATACAAGCATGGAATTTCACGTAGCTGTAATTGATTACAAGTGTATGTGCGGTTCTATAATTTCTCTAATAAACATTTAAAGATAATATCAGATAATGGAATGATGTGGTAGTTACATGCAAATATTTGTGACTATGTAATCTCTTACTCTGTACTAGTTGATAATAGTCAAGTAATTTTATTAGCAATAATATATCACTCATTATATTATGCCTCAAGTTGTTGCCAAATTACTTCCAACATTGGAATTAATGGCATACCATGCGCTTTGAAGATCTTTGGGTTTAGAGATTTTGCAATATTCAAAGTTATGTAGCCAAATTGATTGCTTTCAAACTATGAAAATGCCTAATACTAAGGTCAAGTGCTCATTAAATATTTTGTAGTTTTTTGGATACAACTTGAACTTTTGGGAGTTCAATGTTGAAATCTTGAATAGTTGGTGCTCGTGTTATTGCTCAAAGATATCATATAAGCACAAGATTTTTGAATTGCCATTGTAGATTTTTAGCTAAATGGCACATGCAAAATGCATATTAGCATGTTGGAAATATATGGTTAATAGCACCAATCAAATCTTTTTATTTGTCAAATAAAAATATAAACTTTCCAAGTTTGCAATTCAATGGATGGAATGTAATAATTGATGACTTCAACTTTTTTAAGAATCACAAATAATTGTCATCATTTTTAGCATTCACAATGTTGAATTCAATAGAAAATAATTCTTAGTCTACATTGATTGTAGTAACAATAAGAAATATTCTATGATATTTTTCTTTGAGATGGATGGTGTCTATGCTAATGACAAGTCAACAATATTGCTTGCATTGTGGACAACAAACATTTTAAGAAAGTGATTTTTTCTCATGGATTTCCAATTTTGCAAAGTTCTTAAGATTTATTGTTCTGATTTGGTGACAATAAGCTTTCAAGTTGGTGTAGCTGTCTTTATAAGAGCCAATTAGTTTAGAAATAGCTTTTTCTTTTATGTTCCATACCATCAAGTAGGATAATGCCTTCATCACGTCAAATATCTTTTTAAATATCTACAATTCTATGATATGTTGTCCAACTTGTTCATCACGTTGCTTCCTATCCATCTAGTGCTAGCATGTAGATTGCCCAATACTAATGCATGTATGTTCAAAGACAAATATTCAAATGACAAAAATCTCTTGTACTTGCCAATTGAAATAGTGATGCATACAATCTCCATTTGCAACTCTTCATAGTGTATTATATTTGGTCAAAATTGATAATGGATGCCATCAACAATGGAATTACAAATTCTACCGAATAACTTAGAAGATCCTCTTACTCAAACCGTATAGCATGTCTAAGCTGTTCACGACTTACAATGTCAGGTGCTCCCTTGGCAGCGCTTCAAAATCAGGACGAACGATTATTGATCATGCCTGATCGAACAACTCATGAAAATCAGAAAGAGCCTTTGTTAATCATGCTCGGTTAGGCGGCCCTG